GTTGTCCTTCTCCCCCCACCCCCTGTGAGTAACCCATTCTTCATGGTTTTAATATGCATTTGTAATTACCTTTACTAAATAGCACACCATAAAGCTTTGGTTATATATTAAATGTAAACTGAAAGGAATGTAAACATATGTATTGTTAATTATAAATAGATAAGTAATGGCATAATAGATACAAAAAAAGTCTTATGCAGATGTATCAGTCATTTTACATTATCCACAAACTGTCGCATGGTAGAGTAGATTATTGTCTGAATATGTGAATAACTTGACTTGCGTTTATCTTTTTACATATTTAATAAAAAAATATATGTTAAAATCTGTCTAGCTCTAGAGACTATTCAAGACATTCTAAAATAATGCTTTTTGGGTTAAAATACATATTTTTGTTTCATTAGTGACTGCGACTGGGAGCAGGAAAAAAAAAAAAGGCAGCTGCTTCAGGGGAAAAAAAAGGTTCATTTATTGTGTGTGTAGGTAGCACGTGTTTCCCCAAGAGCTCAGCAACTGTACCCACTTCTACAGATCAAAAAAGAAAATGCATGTGTGTATGTGCATGTAAACAGGTCAGTCCTCTTTGTGGTAAATGCTTTCTGATTTCAGAGCAGTAAATCTCTTGTTGTAGCTGTTTTGATACAACAAAAGCAGAACTTGGCAGCAGCCAGGAGGTGAGGAGAGGATTTATAGCAAGGGCACTGGAGCACCCAGTGGACCTGCCTTGCAATGCCCATGGATTCAGGGATGAATCTTCAGTGCAGCACCTAAAAGCCACCTACAATTTAAATGAAAAAAAAATTAGTTTCTTGGAAGAAAAGGGGGGAAAAATGTCACTGAAACTCTATTTTGTACTTCTGCAGCAGGAGCACTGTTGCTGTAGTAGCTGCTGCTACATCTCCAGGGCTTTGAGCATTGGGTCGGGACTTTTCTGCCATGGGCTGAAGCTACCTGGTTGTGTGCCACCACTGAGAGGTCAGCCTGGGCCCCTCTGCTGCCTTCAGGTATCCCTGGGGCTGAGCCACAGCCCAGCCCCACTTGGGGAAGGTTTCTGGCAGGAGGGGGTGACTAAGCAGAGCTTCATGAAGAGCCCGTTTCCAACCCAAGTGCTCAAGCCTGAGAGAGCAGTGCTTCTTTTGTTGTTTTTTTTGTAAGACTACTGGGGAGACATGTCTCTGGGCTGCTGTGAAGGCTCAACAGTGTAAAAGAGCCCCACTTTGAGAAGGTTTCTGGCAGAAGGGGATGATGAAGCAGGAACCAGAGGAGCCCGTTTCCAACCCAAGTGCTCAAACCTGAGAAAGCAGTGCTGCTTTTGTTGGTTTTTTTGTAAGACTACTGGGGAGACATGTCTCTGGGCTGCTGTGAAGGCTCAACAGTGTAAAAGAGAAGCTATCTATTTTTCAGTTCAAACAGTTGAAAACTTTCTGCCATAATGTTGTGACATAAAAAAACCCCAACCTGTTAGTTCATCTTCATACCTTTATTTGACTTGGCAAAATAAATCTGTGACCATATACCTGCCTATGAACAAAGCATTTTTATTCCCATTCATTAAAGCACTTCCCATTTCAGAGGGCTAATAATTCAATAGATACACTGTGCAATACATGACCTGGTTTTATACTTGTCTTTACAGAGGCTGTAGTGGCAAGTTGCTTTAAGAACAAAGTTATTTGCCCTGTCTTCATATCAAATGTGAAAAAGCTGTCAGGAGATGAATTTCCTTTAAAAGTGAGGCTGTATTTCTGTTTAGAAAGACACAATCATAGGCAGGTTGTGGCAGTTCAAGTTTTATAATTGCATTTAATGAAATATTTCAAAATACTCCATTCCAGTGCATCAAATCATGCTGCTTCTGTGACCCTTGTTTCCAACTGTTTCATAGATAAGTGCAAGACAGAGGGAGAAGGGAAGCCTGTCCACAGAGATGCTCCAGTACAACCACATTCAATCCAGAGGTATTTTTAGTTATTGTATTCTAATTCTTTTCTTATCAGGACTTCCTTCAGATACTTTTGATGGACGGGCTAAATATAAGCTGCTGAAATAGATGAGACTTTTGTGGCAGTGTATGTGGTATCAAATGTAACATTTAACTCCCTCAAAGGGTGAGACTGCTGGGTGTGTGCCTACATCGAGCTCACTGCTCTCCTTCCAGCACAGAACTGCCTTTTTTAGCAGCCCTCATTAAATAAACATCAGTCAGCCTTACTCTAAGAGGGTCCTTGAGCAGTTAGGACCTCCATGGAGACCCCATGCTCCCTGGGCATCATGCAGGGCAGGGGCATAGCCACCACCCTGGCAAGAAAGAAGGCTGGAAGACACCTCTCGTTGCTCCAGCTGCACCCCACAGTGATGCAGGACCACAGTGGTGCTGGAGGGTGTGGGAGCCTCTATTCCCTGCCTGTCTGCAGGGCTCAGCAAAATCTCCAAAACAGCATTAACAGGATGGCCTCTGTCCTCTGCCTAACCTAAGCCCTAAGGTGTTTAAACTGTGATTGTTGTATGATGTTCATGTGGGGGGCAGGACCCCCCAGAATCAGCCCTACTGATGCTGTGGTAGGTCAACTATTGTAACAGGTGGCACCAACTTAAGTTGAAGCCATTCATGAAGATATGACTAGTCAGTGCTCAGTTGAAAATATCCACAGGAGCCACTGATGTATGGGTATGTTAACTGGGGAAAAAATGATCAGGCCAGTGATAAAGCCAGAGAAATGGTGTAAGCACAGAAAAAAAGGTGAACTTAATGCTCAGCAGCTCAGCACCTACGTTTCTACCCTGCTTCTGGCAAGGGAGATAGTTAAGTAGCTCATAAAACTGCCAGTCTGTCAGTCACAGCCCTCTGCAGGAGAAGTCATCCAGTGCTTGCCTTGGGGGAAGGGGACAGACTGTGTCATTAGTGCTTGGAGGCCACAAAGTCCCTGTGGCTAGGGTGGTGTGTGACAAGAGACAAAGCTCAAACTCCTGCCCCTTCCTCCAAGGCATGCAGAAACTCTATGTGTGTGATAGATGAAGTGAGCAGATTACATCTGCACGCAAACTTCTGGTTAAAAAAAGCTTTTCTGGACTTTTTTTGTCATTAGAACCACAAGAATCTGTTTCAAGTAGACAGGGAAATCATGATTTGTTTAGCATTTTGCACTTGTGGATGAGGTTTGATTCACTGGTTTTGCAGTGGAATGGAAGAAACTTCAAAGGTTTGTTGGCCAAATTTATTCTCAGTTGGTTACCTTTGTAGAGTACATTGCTTGTTGCTACTGAAATATCACCAATGCACTTGTACTGCCTACAAAATAAATACAAAGGCTGGTTGCTGCTGTACAGAGGCTGCATTTCTGGCAGACCCAGGTCAGCTGAGACTCATCTTAATGCTAAGGGGAAAAAAA